GCAGCGACCAGCGCCTTCAGGGTCCCTCCAGAGCGCTCAGCGATTCCATTTTGCCACGGAGCTTGAACGGCAGCGTGCCACAGCAGGATGCTGTGTGCCGAGGCCCACTCCTGGAAGGCCTCCGCGACAAATTCCCGTCCCTGATCCGCGACCAATTGTTTCGGCGCCCCGAGAAGGGGGACCCAGGCGGTCATTAAGAAGTCGATCACTGAAGCTGCGCTCTTGTCCTTGAGTACCGCGGCTTGCTGGAACCTTGACACAGTGTCGGTCGCGTGAGCTACTATGTAGCTGCGACCTACCGCATCCTCCGTCACCAGCAGATCCACGTGCATCTGCTCGCCCACGGCACGCGGGGGAGGCAAACTCGAAACTCGACGGCTCCGAGGCGCACGCCTCTCCGCACAGACGTCACACTTCAGCTCGCGGGCGGCTTGAACTGCAGCTGGAGGAGCGCCGACAGCAGAAGGGCACGGGCAAGACGTTTCGGAGGGCGATGCCCAGTAGCTTCATGTACCCGTTTGACAGCCGAGCGGATTGCCGGCGTGATCTCGCCCTTGAACGGTTCCTGGGGCTCGTCATCTGAGTCCTGCTCCACCTCAAAGTCACCAAGGTCATCGGGCCCCGGCTCGGTCACGGCGAGGAGGTCGTGGTAAAAGTCGACCGCCCCAGGAATCGCCGAAGTCTCAAAGCTCTCGTGCACCGGCACTCTGGCGTCCAGCTGCCTGGACTCAAAATCAAACTCTTCCTCAAAGGCTTGCACCAAGGCCTGTGGGAGGGCATACTTAACAGCACCGCACCGTTGAACCACGGCACGGTCCAAGAACTTGCTCACAACCGCCTGGCTCGAGGTCAAGAAGCGAAGGCCCAAAGCTGTGACCGCACGCAGCTCTGGGTGGCCACGAAGCCGTTTCAAAGAAGGAGCCCGCCAGGCCGAAGAAAAAGCGGGAAGAAAGAAAACGAAGTGTCTCCCCCCCCCAATTTGTTCTCGCGCCAAGCGGGCGACGAAGTTGAGCAAAGTCAGGTCGAAGCGGCGGCTTTGGCGCAACTGGTCAGAGGATTGTCGCAAACGAGCTTCTTTACTCCAAGGCGCCGCCGGCACGGTGAGGGCAAGGAAGTAGGGCCGCTCCCGCCGAAGTTCACCAAGTACTTGGCGGCGATGGTCAGGGCGTTGTAGGTCCCAGCCGGCATCTGTAGTCCAGGGGCCGGCGGTGGTGTGGCCACGGACGCGAGCTTGCTGAGAGAGGCGGTCCACAGCCGAGCCTGCCTCTGCCATGATCAGCGGGATTTCCATGACGAAGGCCTCGCGGAGCGCACGTTTGTAGTTCATGAAGTGCTCCGCGATCATAGTCTCACGAAGCCGCCGGGGAGAACAAGATATAAGCAGCTGCTCGCGACGATGCCTGGCCCAAGCTTGAGTTATCATTTGCCGTTGTCCCGGCCGTAGCTGACTCAAAGTGGCTTCTCCAGGCATCCCAGCTGCTCCCGTCTCGGGTCCACCGGCGGGTCGTCGTTGGGCTGAGTGACCGTTGACCAGCCCTCGTCCCCTTCCATTAACGTGTCGGCGTCCTGGGTCTGCGCCGCCTGCATCTGCATCATGTGGTGAAGGACCTGGTTGAGCATTGCCTGCTGTTGCGAAGTCGCCTGCTGCAGCATGTCCTGGTACTTGTGGTCCATCTGCTCCATGTATGACGTGAAAACACTCATGCTCACAACCTCGGCTTCCGATCCATGTGCCTGCAGCCTCGACATCGGTGGGGGCGAGGGCATAGGCGAGCTCGTCGGCAAAGCTGGCGTAGACCTTGGCAAAGGGGTCGAGGAGGAGGGCATAGAACCGCTGGAGCTCAGGGGAGCCGGCTTTGAAGAGGAGGTCTCGTTCTTGAGGAGGGCGACCATGGGGCGAAGTTTGGCCTTCAAGTCGTCCACTTTGTCTCGCTCCGAGACCTTCACCTCCAACAGGGCAGCCAAGCGAAGGAGGTCGGCCTTCAATGTCGGGAGGCCACCTCGCGGCCCAATCAAGGAGCGGGCCACCTGCATCCGATCCGCTTCCTTGGCCGCCTCCTGCTGAGCTTCTTTCACCATGGCTGCCCGAACTCGCGCAGAGTGACCCTTGGTCGAGGTCACGGCCAACATGCCCTGCAGGAAGGGGTCCTCGAGGAAGGAGAAGCGAAGGCCGAAGCGGTTTCGAAACCAAGTCATAGAGCTCAGCGCCGAGGCCGTCCACACGCCTCGAGCAAGCCATCGACTCGGATAAACACCATGCCTGGACATCGTCTCGGCCTGCGCTTTCCACAAAGCCACCGAAGTAACCGAGGGCCACGGAAACGGCAAGAAGCGCAAGTCGGGCCGCTTGACCAAGGCAAGACGAAGGCCTTCTTTTGCCCATGTCCACCGGGCCAAGCTTCGGATCACCATCCTGCGCCATCTGGGAAAGGAGCGCCCGAGCACCGTGTCGTCGCCGAAGCCGCCGAGGGCTCCCAAACCAGGAGCGGAAGAGGGTCGAAGTGCCGCGCCGGCCGCCGCCATCCTTGGAACGAACCGTCACAGAGGAGGCAGCAGGGGCTTTCACAACCGGCGTTTCCACACACATCTTTTGGGCCAAGGTCAGAAGCACCGAGTTGTACTCAAACACGCGACGGCCCAAGGCAAGGCTGGCTTCAGTCATGTTGTGGCTGTGCGAATCACCTCCTGAAACACTCGACGCAGCTGCTCGGGAAGGGGTCTTCATCAACTGCCGGGCCCAGGCCTTGCAATCCAAACGTGTCTCTATCACATTGTCCGGCCCGAGTTTTCGCCAGCGCGGGCTGCAAAGGTCAGGCCAGACCTCCGGGATCAAAGGCAAAGCCAAATGTCCAGCCGACAACTGCTTCAAGGCAGCCCTCTTTGAATTAAAGGCACGGCAGAGAAGAGTCCGTTCAGCAAAGTCAAGGACGCCGGCAACCGCGTCGAGGAAATCTCTGCCGAGCAAAAGGCCCAGCGTGGCCACAGGAACGGAGGACACCCACACGAGGACCATTTCATCAGCAACCATCATGGGCAGGCGATAGCGCACACAAGAGGGTAGGATGCCGCCGTTCCCGAACTTGAACCTTTCGGTCTCGGGCGTCTTCTGAATC